CAGGCACTAGAAGGGAATTCCTTTCCTCAGATGGAAACATCTCAGGTAAAAGGACCCAAAAGAGCAATTAAAAAGCTGGTGATAACAACAGAGACCACCTTCATGGCTCCCTTTTTGCCTTGGGGAGGAATGGAGAGCCAGAGACAGGTCTTGTAGATAATACTCTCCCTGCCGCTGCGGCRGGGGATTGGCAAGGTACTCATTTTCCCATGTCCTCTAAGCACTAGTACAAACATGGCGGTATAGATTTTTTTGCAACTTGGAATACAGATTTTTTTTTCTTTCTTTTGAACTTCCTTTGAAATAACTCACTACATAAAACTTTTGTTTCAGAAAGAGGCCCACTTAGTATAACATTAATAATCCAAATATTTGCTCAGAAGAGGAAATGCTCTAATAAAACACAAACACACCCTCCCTGCAATAAGAATGTTTCAATTGTTAAAGCCAGATTAAATATACCAAAAAGAGAAAATCGAGAGAGATTTTAAAGTAAAGCAAGGCATGGGGATTTATAATAGGTAATCATCTTAAAAACAGCTTAAAAAATATCCTGCCAATTTCCCAAAAACATGCCAAGGAAAATATGTAAAACAACATGATTTCCGCTCTAAATGCTGCATGATATATGCACTCTATACTAAAAATACCTCTCTAAGCTTGTTTTCCAAGTTTGTTGGTGACTTTTCTCCTGAAAGTATCACCTAAGGACAACTGCTTTCATCATTAAGCAAACTGGAGTGACCTTATGGCAGTGGTCTCTGCAACCCTTGGCAATCCAGGATCAATGCAGTAGATGCTTCCTGGCCACTGGATCCTCCTCTGCACCAAGTGGGTCTCCAAGGTCTACCTTGTCACCATTCACATGGTTCCCCAGCCCCTTATCCACCTCCACCTGAGAGAAGTGTGCACCAAAAAGCAAATTCCAGTGTTCCCACAGCAAATGCATGGGCTTCTGGCAGAAGGGAGCAGATGGTATATTTATAATTATGATACAGTGTAAGTGAGGACTTCAAGAGATAAAAGTCAGTGCAGCATTAAATGGAGAGGCCAAATCACAAAGAAATGGCAATTCTGCTTCTCAAAAAGCTTATTGCTTTTCTAGAATATCCACTATTGCATAGGYTTATTTCAGAGAACTATCACACAATTCTCAATTTCCTGCAGCTAGCGGGCCATTTCCCTAGGATTACAATTGTGCCCATACTTCATTTCTGCTGAAGAACATGCGAATGGTTTAAATATCTTGAGGCTTCTGTACTACTTTTCCAGTGTTCTGCCTACAGATGTGCACTCCCACATTTCTTGTGTATTCTGTTTCTTTGAGGGATGAACTGCTTGGTGAGACTATTTTATGTGTAGACATGGGGCGGGGGAACCCACCTTTTTAGGGTGGCTCCTCTATGACAGAAGTTGTATACTCAGAATTGCACACAATCCATAGGACATTTTGCATGAGGAGAAGCAGCAAAACCTGCAGGATGGCCAACCTCTTAATCTTCTGACCTGCTCCTGCACAACCCTGGCTGCATAATTACAAACAATCTGACGGATGCTGGAGGAACCTGATGGATATCTGGTGAACTCTGGGTGAGTTCCTGGGGATATGGAGAATAGCTTTTGCATTGAGGCAACCTGATGGGAAGAAATAAACTTCCCTGCAAGTGGCTCTAGGATATGACATGTGCTGAGACAGAGCAATGCTTTTATTGCATGAGGCAGATCACACTGTTCCTCCACTCAGAATTCTCCTCACCTTCCTCCAAGTTGAAGCCAAGCCCCTCACAATGACCACCTATCTCTCCCATCACCCTGCCAACTCCCACACCTTCTTCTAGTCTTCTTGTTGTCCTGTCAACTTACCAGGCTTCTCATATGGCGGCCACTGCATTTGTTGTACCCCAGAGAGTCACACATCTTTGCCCAAACATCTTCTCTATGGGGTCTCCTATTGTGTCACATTCCACCTCATCCTTTGAATCTCGCTTACCTCATTGCATGTCTATTTCCTTCCCATAGAAACTATCACCTTCTAACATACTAGGCAGTTTGCTCATCCACTCTGTTCATTTTCTGAACCCCCATCCCTGCTGCTAGAATGTGCTACTCCATGCCAACCATGTGGCCTCCAGGCATCATTGGACACACAATAAATACCTTGTATGCTTCAAAGAATGACCCAGAGATATATGAATATAACTGGAAGAGCCCCTCTGTTTTGATTGAGGCTCCTCTAAGGAGCCCCCACAAAGGCACAGTTTGACTTGGAGGAAGAAGCTAGGGATGCAGTGATAATCTGCAGAGCCAGTAGGAGCCTGCAGCTGGGCTGAGCAGAGAGCCAGGTGTGGAGAAAGAGAGCTGTGACTGCTCATGCTGATTCCCAGACAGGGCTGGTGGGAAGGGCTGGACACTTGCTCTCCTTCAACCCAGCTTTATGAACTCCTCTTAGAGTCTGAGAATCACTTTTAAGGGTCTTAGTTGGGAGTAATACAAGATAACTAGTATTTTATGGCAATTTTTGTGACTTGTAGTTTTTCCCTGGAACGGAATCAATGGGCAATACAGATGACATGCATCACCAGGGCTGATCAGAGAGCTTGGTGATGGCCCCTCAGTAAACATTTATTATAGTGGATAAACTAGAGCTTTTACAAAAGTAAAACTAGAATCTCAAACATTTTTGATATTCATTTGAAACTGCATTCAGACATGATTTGAGAGTCAGAAAACCATTTGCTTTATTTTAGAAATACATTTTTCTTAAACAACAGCAACGAAAATATAAAATGCATCTGTGTTGATTGACTATTGACCTCGGTCACTAGGCTGGGCATCTGCTAGTATTAATTGGAATTTCACCAGCCCTTATATCACTTTACAACTACAAGACACTCTAAAAATGAACCTAGCCTTAAAGGAAAGACTTCATGCCATTCATGATCTGAAAAGAAAGTATCATAGGATTCACAAAACCACTCCATGGTAGAACAATGCAGACATTATTGGAGTGGGACATGGCCTCCCTTCTTCCAAGGACGTCCCTCTGAATGTGGAGGGAAAGTTCTGGCCTACTGTTTCAACATTTCTCTGACATTACTTTCAAGTCACAGGTCCTGTCAGAGACTCAATTAAAAAAACAAAAAAATAAATAAAAAAGGCTTTCACACTGCTGTGCACAACTAGAGTGAATCATGGTGCCATCACCACCTGGAGCTATAGAAATAGTTCAGATTTTTAACAACACTCTCTGCTCTGCTTGTCAAGTACATTTTGACTCCTTGTTTGGAATATTCAGACTTGTTCAAACTACCCATCTGCCAAGTAGGCGAGTATACCAGTAACCTTGGCCTCAAACTTAAGTTCTCTCTCTGAGCATTCACATTCATTGACACCTTTGAACTGCATCTGGTGACTTCAAATACACATTTTTGAGATCTTTACTCTATGATTAAACCCTAAAGTACACTTTCCATGTGAGGTTGAAGGACAGGCTTTTGTCCCAGTGTTGACTGTGTTTTATTCACTTCCCTGTAGCTTAACATCATGAGAAGGTAAAAGGGGCAAAGCTACTCGTGGACAAGGGCGTTGCTGGAAGAAGGCAGTCCTGTTTCTAACAATATTGCCGAGACAATCATCTGACTTTAATAATTGTAGTGCAATGACAGTTTTCAATATGTGTTTCAATAATGTTAATGTCACATTAATGAGCAAGTGACTGTGCCTGCAGTAGGCTATTCTAATTTTCCTTGCCTCTTGCCTCTCTGCAGACATTTCTTGTGTTCATGAGGCTTGCTAGGGGCTACTGGTATGAGGATGGAGAAGGTCTTGCCCTCAGGCAGCTTTCAGTTTCATTGGGATTACCTAGGGAGGAATAGCAAGAAGACATTTGCACAGAAGGTAAAGACCTGGGGGTTACAGGGGCTGGTGATATGTAGTGGGGCCAGTAAGACAGAGGCAGAGGTGGTGCCTGAGAAATGTCAGCTAACAAGGTGACTGGGGAGGGGGGTCCTTCATTCTAGCAGTAAAAGCACAGAGATTAACAGTGCATTATGTTGGGGCTGGGGTGGTGGCTTAGTGGTAGAGCACTTGCCTAGCATGTGTGAGGCACTGGGTTTGATTCTCAGCACTACAAATGAATAAATGAATAAAATAAAGGTCCACCAACATTTTAAAGAATTTAAAATGTGCATTATGCCACTGAAAATAAGTTTAAAATTGCAATATACAAGACAGCCCTCTGATACATTAACTCTGGTGAATTGATAGAACATACCTTGCATCACAAAATCATCAAAACCCAAATATTAGCTACATATATGTATTACAACACATACATTTTTTCTGGAAATCGTTTCCAGGTTGGTATTGATTTCTCTTTCTTTCTTTTTTTTTTTTTTAACCAAGCATTGGTTTTAAAGGCAGCTAATAAATTTATGCAGTCAAAGTATAAGAACAAGCCCATGCCTTAAAGAAAACATTAAGGGAACACTTCAAAACCATACTCAACAAAGTGTAACTATTCCTAAACTAATTACAATTATCTACAGAATAGTTCTGTAAACTTGATTACACATTTACACTGTGTTCCTTGAGAAGACTAACCACAAAGAATAACTGCATTCTTGTTTTTTTTTTTTTAAGAGAAAAAAATGCTCAGGGTTTTTTTCCAGGCACACTGACAAATTCATAGCATATATTATACTTCCATTACATATAGACATGGATACAGCAACTCAAAGCCTATTTGCATATTCATGCAGCTAAATATATGCAGCATGCAAGAGCAACTCACAGATATTCCTAAAGAAGACACGTTGAATCTCCAGTGTTACTTTACAAGTGCACTTTACTACTCCCTTCCTTCATTCACAGCACCAAGGGGATCTTCTGTTAAGTTATGGGATATCTGAAAGGCAAGCTGGGTCACCGCATCCCTTGCACACGTCATCTCTACCTGTTCCCTAGGAGCCCACCAACACAATACAGCAAAGGGCACATACCTGGCTGAAGCTCTGGCCCCCAGCTCGGGCTTGAGTGCTTCTGGCTGGGAGCTGCGAAGGGGCTGTGTCACTCAGGGCCAGAGTCTGGTTGCTATGGTAGCTGGCCGGATACTGGAAAGACCCTTCAGGTTTGGAATTGAGCTGAAGTGCACTCTGGGAGAGCAGGCTGGGTCCTGCATTGAAAGTCATTTAGAGCAGTCAGTGACAGTCTCAGTGAAGCAGAAATGACATGTATTATTTATTGAGAGTAGCCTAGAATTATCACATGCACATGATTCCAGCCATCTATGCTTTGAATTCTGAGAACTAAAATGACCATATAATTCGACTTCAGCTCACAAATGAGATTTTTTTTTTTTTTTTTTGGTGGTTTAAAAGTTCTCAAAGGAGTAGATTTTTCAAATGATCTCATCCTGACCTACATAGAGACACTTCTAATTGGAGAAATTAGTTAATCAAACAGTTATTTCTGGATCATACAATATCAGAAACATATGAAATAATGTAAATGTCTAGCTTTCAGTACATGTTAATTGTGTTAATATAATTACATCTCCCAGATAATGATCAAGATGCTATAACACTTGAAACCTTCCAATCAGTGACAAATTCCATTGTATAAATAGTGATGTAATACCTCATTGCCAGAAGGGTAGATAGTGTTTAAAATATTAATAGCTCTTCATACAATGTAGAATTCACCCTGATCTCACACAATCTCTGATGACTAGTTATCTTTGCCATCACAGCAACGCTCAGTAGGAGAACAAAGAGAAGACACAGTGTTAAAATTGGTGCCGCTAACATGGTTGATAATACAAGGGATGAATAAATGAGAATCAGGTCCTGGCCTCATAATTTAATTACCATTTCATATGAAATGGTGTGTTATTTTTTTATGCTCTGTTTAGACAGGATCCTTGCAAAGGTTTACCCATTTTCTTTTCAGGCAAATTTTCAAAAATCAAATTTAATACTCACTTTGGGTGTTAAAAGGAGCATCGGGGAACAGAAACGTACTTGCTAGTTTGCATTGTGTGTTTAAGAGGAAGCTGAGGTAAGAGGAGTGTGATAAGCCATCCGAATTTTCTCATGTTTCTTTGTAACACGGTACAAAGGTGCATTTTTGATGAATGGTAATAATATAACATCGCCTGTCCTCTACCCATTAAACCATCCTTGGTCCCCTCCTTTGTCTGTTTTAGACAGTAGTATCATTTCTAATAATCGTGAGCATTTTCCTTTTATTCCTTTTTAAGGTAAGTGACAGCCTAGATTTGACATGARACAGACTGGTCTTGCATAAGAGAACACATTGTTTTTATGCAGGTGAACTTTGCCATTTAAGTCTTTCCTTTTCCTTTTGATTCTCTGGTGGAACTTCTAAACAACATATAGATCCTTTGTTTTTTAAAAGCACTGGATATTAAATAATAAGGCAATTAGCTTATATAAAAAAAAGACTTGGTATTTTGTAAGTGATGTAGTTTCTGGAAAAAAAAAGTCAAACAAGAAAACAGAAATGTTTCCATTCATCACCAACTTCGTCATAAAGGGCATAACAAAAGTACAGCTATAATTCTTTTTCTTTTAATTTAAAGCATATAGTCCCAAGAAAATAGTATATACCAGATGGTTAAGTTTCCAATAGTCTGTACAAAAACCATTTAATGCATATTGAAGGTATTACAGGCCTAATGGTCAGATACACAAGTCTCTGGAGAGAGATGCATTCAGAATCTCATTCTGGATGCCAGGGACATGTCTCCCTCGCTGCAGTGGAAGCTGCCAGGCTCAGCAGCAAGGGGAGTTCTCTAAAGGTCCTGGCAGTGTATCTGCTGAGATATGGGAGAGCCTTTGGGAGGCATGGGAGGAGACACTGTTGAGGACCGCGGCACATGAGGACTACCCATAGGGAAGAGGAGGAAGTCAGCACTAGCAGGGTGGTGATGGATTTTGGCCACGGGTGCTACCCTTGGTCTCTGCTGAAGGTCACATCCTAATGGAGAAATGTGAGCTATGGTGAAGAGCAAAGGCCCTTTCAGGTTGATGGTCACCATTGTACCTGCTAATGGGCAGCTTCCCACTGTGACTTACATGGGCTATTTCTTTCAGGACAGTCCACTGAGGACATTAATAGTCTGTACTGGCCACACCATCTTCCCCACAATAATGCATCTCAAAGGCAATGAAGGTTACAGCAGACACGCAGCAGTACACAGACTTCACAAAATTCGATAGRATGAAGTAAAATATGATCTTTAATTTTATGTATTTTAACGGAGTCTATAAAGGAAAATAGGTGCATGCCTAATTATTTGCCTTTCGACAAGATTGTGAATTTATTCTTGATATGTAGTTAGCAAGCAAAATAATTCTGTATAGTCTAAATAGGTTCTAACAATTATCTCCAGAAACCTACCAATGATGCTTGGCAGGAGTTTTAGATGACAATGTAAAGTCCCCTTTCAAAAAAAAAAATTCAATTAAATTAATTTGCTTCTAAAAAATATGTCATGGAATAATCAAATCTGATCGTCTGTTGTAGAATCAGCTGTGTGTTTGATCAATACTCAATGAAAACAAACCAAGATTCTCTATTTCATTATTTTGTTCAAACATCTCAAGTGCTGAAGTCTAGATGTGCTCTGACAAAGGTAATTGCGACAATGAGCAATAGATCATCATTTTACAACACTGACATCACCTGGCAAGGACAGAACCGCAGGGAGAATAGCCAAGCCTCGGGTGAGTTTGAGAATGATTCTTTCCACTGCTCGCTAGGTACTGATTCAACCCTATTTATTCATTCCAGTTTTGAAAAGCATAGATGTATGAAAATATGAAAAAGGTTAAAATGATAGGACAGTTCTTAATTACTTTATAATGGGWGTAAAATTTGCATATAACTGACTCTCAATTAGTTTTATCAACAATACTGTGCATTGAGGTAGAAAATACAAATGTGCCAAAGATTTTAAAAGCATTTATAGTTTTTGACTTTATTTTTTTTTTCTTCAGAACTTTTGAGTTTACATCAGTTCTTTGCTTGAGCTAGAGGTAAATCAGGCTGTTGGAGCTGGAAATGGCTAATGTGGAAGATGTGGTAGGGAAGAGGGAGAGGCTGGGTGTTAAGATTCCAGCTGGGGAAAGGACCTGTTGTCTTGGTGCAATTGGTTGCTTCCAGAGAAACCTGAACTGTGAGCTACAGTGAGTCATGAAGCCCTTCTAGGTGGGAGAAGGCAGAGCCATGTTCTGGCACTTACATCTTCAGAACATTGATCTGAGGGGTTGCAAAGACTTTGCTGACCTAACCCATCACTGGAGAGTCCTTGTACCTGAGCCCAGGGACCTGTTCAAAAAGACTGACCTTTTAAAGGAGAGGAGATTATGCCATTTACAGACAAAGTGATAATGCTCAGGACACTCTTCTGTCCTAGGTCTGATGGAAACTCACTATCTCCAACTGAGCAGAGGAAAGATCTCAAGGAAACTACAYAGTTGATCCCACTAACTTAAGAACATACATAAAACAAAGTACCTTTTTATTAATTATTATTATTATTTGGTACCAAGGATTTTGAACTCAAGAGTAGTCAACCACTAAGCCATATTCTTGGTCCTTTTTTATTTTTAAAAAATATTTTTGTATTTTATTTAGAGACAGGGTCTCTTGGAGTTGCTTAGTGTCTCACTAAATTGCTAAGGATGGCTTTGAACTCACRGTCCTCCTGCCTCAGCCTCCTGAGCTGCTGGGCAAAATACCTTTTTAAAACTTTTTATTTGATGTACTGGAAGTTGAACCCAGGGCCTCGTGATGCTAGGTAAGTGTTTTATTTTGAGACAGGTTGTTGCTACCTTGCTGAGGTTGGCCTCCAACTTGAGATCCTCCTGCCTTAGTTTCCAGACTATTTGGAATCACAGGTGCATACCACTGTGGCATTCTGCCCCCGCCCCCCCCCCCCCCCCCCCCCCGAAAAGGATCTCCAGTAAAATATTTTGGCCTCAATAGGTTTTCAAATACACTATCTGATTAGAGAAAACACAACTACTTGCAAACAAAACTATACTTTTATCTTTTTCATTAACCCTACAAGTATAAACAGAAGCAAAGGGAGGTTAAGCTATCAGCTGCTGTTGTACATGTGATAGTTTAAAGATGAGACTTAGATCTTTGACTTCTGTCTCCAAGTTCAGGAGTTGTTGTCTAAGATCAAGCACTATTTATCTATCAAAGTCACAAATATACACACAACAACATGTTAGGGCTGAAAAAGTATTTCTTGAATGGAGGACCTCTTGTTCATAGAAGAACTCTTCACACCTCAGATTACGGTTCTTTCCCAGCAAACTGCTGCTTGGAGATTTCTAGTGCTAGCTGGGGGAGCTTGCTGTCTACCACCAGGGGAACAAAGTCRACTTCAATGAATATAGAGGCCAAAATACTAATTTTTACATAAAAATCCAGACCCACTTATAGATCATATAAACAAAGACATTATAATACACAGTTTATTTTGATCCAATTAACTAGATATTTTAGTTTCCATGATCATGTGCACCAGATCTGTTTGCACAAGTTTAAAAAAAGACTTTATCTGAAGTATTAATTCTTGCTGGTTTCAGAATACAGTAAAATGTAATAAAAAGACACAGTGTGTAATAATACAGAAAATGCCCMATGCCTCCAATGTGGCATTTTTAAGTCATGGTCATGCTAATGAAGTGACTGGTGTGTGTTGGGGGTAAAAATATATAAACCAGGACTAGATGCTTGCAGACCTGGGCCCTGGTCCTCCTTCAGGTCCATGTAGGCAGAGAGGGTGATGACCACAGTGGTGGAGGTCACAGTAAAASCAGCCAACAGRGACGGAGTGCTTACGAAGTTCAGGGACTGTCCTGGGAAACTCCTACCCTGTTGACTTTTTACACATCCCAGTGCAGAAGGGACTGCCATTCCTTCTGATGCTGGAGGCACTGAGGGTCCCTCTAGCTGAGCCCACAGTTAGTGGTGGGCACGGGGTTCAAACACTGCAGTCWGGCTTCAGATTGCATGTCCTTAACATTATTATGTCCCTGCACATTTTAATATCTCTACATTTGAGCACCTAAATGAGATAATGGCTGTGAAAGCTCTTGGAAAAATATAAATTCCAATGTGAATGTCAGTTAT